AGTTGGCCGCTTGTTTATCTTCAAGCCTCTGAGACCCCAGATGCTATATCTTTTGATAGCTAGGCACCATTACCTCTCTTCACAACATTTGCTTATGCACAATGTTTGTATTCAGTGATTGTGTCAGTAAAGCGGGCACCCACTGATGTGATTTTCAGTTCTTTGATGTCTGATAACAGGTCCCTTCTACACCTAGTGGTCAGTCAGGCTGGTGTGCTTCTTCCATGTGGGCTTTGATGCTTCTCAGCTAGATGGCTGCTTGTTTGTCTTCAAGCCTTTAAGACCCCAGACATTATATCTTTTGGTAGCCGGGGACCATCAGCTTTCTTCCCCACCTTTGCTTATGTTCACATTTTTCTTCAGCAATCATGTCGGGAAGGTGCAGCAATTAGTCTTTTGACATAATAAGGAGAGTCAGGAATCAGAGGAGGGAAATGAATGACCGCCTGGTTGTCTCCATGTCTCCTTCGCCATGAGACCAGAACTGAAATAATGTGAGTATTTTGATCCAAGGTTTTATAGGAAACTTCTGATCAAAAGGGGGATAATGCAGAACAGAATTTCAAACTTTCAATGAAATATAAACTTTCTGGAGCCACAGAAGCTGAGAAAACCCTGAAGTTATTCCTCTGAGATAATCTTTAAACATGTAAATTTAAACCAAAATCACTCCATAAAGTCTTCTTTGGGGACCCCCCCCCACAAAAAAGAAAAAAACCCACCAAAAAAATCTTAACTAGTAGAGTACTTCTGCATTGAGCTTTGTGCTCTTTTAAATAATGATCTATGATGAGATGCAGTGTTGAAGAATAACTATGAATCTGAGAAAAACCTCATGACATGGACAGATCCGAAGGGCATTATGCTGAGTAAAATTAGTCAATCACAAAAGGACAAACATTTATGAGATGATGGCTGTTTTTTAAAATAATAACAACAATAATAAAAGTTTTCACATTAAAAGAAACAGACTGATGGTTACTGGGGATGGGAGGGAAAGAAGGGGAATTGGCAGGCTAGAGGGGAACCAGGTATGAACGTGGGTGAAGAGGAAGACGATATTGAACAGGAAGGAGATGGAAGAAAATGATGGGAAAAGGGCATGATATTAGTAAACTTCATAAGCTGTTGAATGTGAAGCTAATGATCTGCTCCGGATATTTTGACCTAAGGCACAATCAAAAAAAGTTTTCCAAACAATCTCGGCAGGGTACTGCTGACCCTGATAGTTCTGCTGGGAGCCCAGAAACATCTCTAACTCACTCCCCTTGGCCATGATCAGAGTACTCCCCATGAAAGACGTACCTTTTAGGGATACAAACCCCATTGGCACAAATCCCTAAGTGTCCTAACCGCTTTTCACTTACACAGAATATCAGTTCTCACTGCCTGTAGGAACAGGAAACAGGCTGCCTGTTGCCCAAGTCTCACCCTATACACCTCCCCAGTGTAGCTAGCTACCCACACTGTTATTCTATTCCTAAAGATAAAGACTTTCTTAGAATGCCAAAATGGAAACTCAGATAGACGGTGAGAGTTGGTGGACTACTTCTGTTCTTTAAAAGCTTAAGAAATTTAGTTAAATTTGTTAGGTTTGCTCTCCCCTCCCCACCAAAAATAATGACCTGTATAAGATCAAATTGAGAATGGCAACTGGAAAGGTTTACAGGAAACGTAGAGGGCTGGGAGTTTAAGGTAAGTTTAAGGTGGTGGAATGATGTGGAAAGAGGTAACAGGAATAGTAGTACATCTTGAGAATGCAGTGCATGCCACTGGATTGTGCATGAAGAAATTGTTGAAATAGTGCTTTTTGGGCTATTTATACATGCACCAAAATAAGAAATAAAAATAATATTTAAAAAATTAGCCCTGAGGCTCCAGGGGAGCAGGATGGGGGAGGGAGGGGATAAAGGAGTTAAAGAAGAAAGAAAATGTTTTGAAACTGATGGTGGCAGAAATTGTACAATGATGCTCGATCCAACTGAACTACGAATTGTTACAACATCTGTAAGAGCTCCCAATAAAATGCTTTTTTTTTTAAATTAGCCCTGAGAAGTCACTAAGGCTGTGGTTTCCAACATACCCTATGGAATCACAGCAAAGTCACGGGCATGGTTCCTAGATTTAGCAAATAAGGTTACAAGACCCCGAGTTACACTTCTAATAAGTAACATTTTTCTAAATGAAAGTATATCCCATTTAATCTTTGAGATGTGTTTACACTACAAATCATTTGTTATTTATGTGAAATTCAAATTTAAGTGGTCATCCTTTATTTTCTCTGGCAGCCTTACTTACAGAAGCACAGTAGGATCTTTTAAATTTCCCAGGCAAACATACTTACCAATTGGCACAACCACCATTGTTCTGCCTAGCTCAACATCAGGGATCTAATCAACAAGTAGATGCACACCTTTTAAAGCATAAACTCACAAATATAAAGCACCATCATTGCCTCCTTCCTTTACGAAGGGCAAGGCATTTTCAAAAACCCTAGACTGCTTGCATTCTAGAATCTTACTTCACCTTTCTGTTTCCTCATTCTTTCAGATGAACTCAGAAATGTAGGTAACGTACAATCCTGTTGTCGTTGTCATTAATGCCCTCAGCCCGGTTCCCACTCGCAGTGACCCTGTGCACCACAGAACAACACAGCCTGGCCCTGCGCCCTCCGCACGATGGCTGGCAGGCTGCAGCCACTGGGTCAATCCATCTCATTGAGGGCCTTCCACTTTTTCTCGGCCTTCTACTTTACCCAGCATGCGTCCTTTTCCTGAGACTGGTCGCTTCTAATAACATGTCCAAAGTATATGAGATAAAATCTTGCCATCCTTGCTTCCAAGGAGCATTCTGGCTGATCTTCTTTCAAGGAGCCATGGTGGTGCTTGACTGGTAAGCAAAAGATGGGTGATTTAAACCCATGTAAAGAGCCCTGGTGGCATAGAGGGTAATCTGCTGGCTGCTAACCACAAGGCCAGTAGTTTGAACACATCATAGGCTCTGCCAGGGAAAGAAGAGGCGTTCCCAAAGGGAAGTTCTACTCGATCCAATAGGGTTGCTTGACTCAAAATCAACTCGATAATCATGAGTATTTTGTTTGCTTGTTTAATGGCTCCATGGGAGAATGATGTAGCAATCTGCTCATGTAAAGATTTACAGCCTAGAAAACTGGGGGAAAGTCTACTCAGTCACATGGGTCACTGTGAGTTCAAATGGACTTGATGGCACCTGATAACAAAAACAAATAACATAATAAACTGTAACATCTAGAAGAGGGGTCCTCAAGCTTTTTAAACAGGGGCCAGTTCACTGTCCCTCAGACCATTGGAGGGCCGGACTATAGTTTTGAAAAAAAAAACAAACCAAAACAAAACTATGAAAAAACAAACAAACTATGAACAAATCCCTATGCACACTGCACATAATCTTATTTTGAAGTAAAAAAACAAACAAACAGGCAAAAACACCTGGCAGGCTGGATAAATGTCCTTGGAGGGCCATATGTGGCCCGCGGGCCGTAGTTTGAGGACCCCTGTTCTAGAATAAGGGCTCTATATTATTGAGTTCAGATTCACCTGAAGAATGTAAGAACCACCCGGTCTCCCTCTTTCCCACCTCCCAAATTAAAAGAGCCATCAAACCAAACTAAACTGACACTGAACACCTTGAATGTGGAGGCAGCCTGGGATGACAAGAATCTAGGCAGCGCATTCAAACCGGTGCTGATTCTCTCTCTTGCTTTCTCCTTTGTAAGTTTAAATAAGTCTGTCTCACATCCAGGGTGGAAGTGTGTGTGGGAGAGGGAGGGTTGGGGTGAGAGGAAAGGGAGGTGAAGAAGGAGGAGAGCAAAGAATCAGCTCATTAAACACAATTAAATCACTAACGGGGTCCTCCTTTGCATGGTCACACCTGGGAATTACAACTATCATATTACTTTTTCCTGCCCAAATGGGATTTTAATGTGAGTGAACGTGCTGTCTAAGGGGATCTGTATTAGTGAATTTACCTATATCCCCCCAGACACCTGACTAAGGCTGCAGGATGTGAGCCCACAGACTTCAAATGATGCCAACCCACATTGCCCAGGCATTGCAACTTCAGCCACAGGTCCAGGACACGTGTGGCAACAGTTCTTTATTGTTGCTGTTAAGTGCCATGGGGTCAGCTCGGACTCAAAGCGGCCCTATGCACAACAGAACAAAACACTGCACGGACCAGTGCCCTCCTCACACTTGGTCCTGTGCCTCAGCCACTGTGTTAATCCACCTCTTTGACGGCCTTCCTCTTTCTTGCTGCCTGAGTTAGTTAATTGTGCCAACCTGGCTGATAATCACATGTGGGGCTAATTGAAAGGCGGAGGGATAAATGGGTGGTGAGCCTCGCCTTTCTAGTTCTCGGGTCTCTTGTTTTGTGATCATTGCACCGGGTGCAGCTGCCTTAGCAGTTCCCTGCTTCAGCTTGCAAGATTGACTTCCTACAAGACATCCCCAAAGAGAAGCTACATGGACCTATCCCGATGCAGCCCTGGGTGCTGGAGCAGCCATGTGGAGACCCCTGCTAGTGCTGAGATGCTTGTTCGTTCCTGACTCAGCTTTCCTCCTGCAGTCGGCATCATTGCCTCTGTTTTGTGAGGTGGAGGACTTTGTGGACTGGTGTTGGGTTAATGGGTTAATGTTGGACTTGTGGGCTTGGGCAGCATTGGGTTGGGATGTTTTCGTGATGCACATTTTCTTTACATAGAACTCTCTTATACATGAGTTGCTGTGGATTTGTTTCTCCAAAGTACCCAGACTAATACACTGCCCTTCCACTTTACCAAGCATGATGTCCTTCTTCAGGGACTAGATTTCTCCAACAATATGTCCCAAGTTTATAAGACGAAGTCTTGCCATCTTTGCCTTTAAGGAGCACTCTGGCCTTATTTCTTCTGAGACAGATCGGTTTGTCCTTTCAGCCATCCGTGGTACTTTCAATGTTCTTCTCCAGCACCACAATTCAAACACACCCATGCTTCTTCAGTCTTCCTTATTCAGTGTCCAACTTCCACACGCATATGATGCAATGGAGAATATTATGGCTTGGGCCAGGTGCACCTTAGTCCTCACAGGAACATCCTTGCTCTATAATACTCCAAAAAAGGTCGTGTGCAGCAGATTTACCTAATGCAATACTTCTTTTGATCTCTTGCCTGTTGCTTCCATGAACATTGATTGTGGACACAAACCAGACAAAATCCTTGACAGTTTCAACCTTTTCTCCATTTATCACGACGCCACCAATTGGTCCACTTGTGAGGATTTGGGTCTTCTTTAAATCCTTACTTACGGTGCAATCCTTGATCTGCGTCCACAAATGCTTCACGTCCTCCTCACTGTCAGCAAGCGAGGTGGTGTCCTCTGCATACCTCAGGTTGTTACTAAGCCTTCCTCCACTCCTGATGCCACACTCTTCCTCAGGCACTCCATCTTCTCTGATGATTTGTTCAGCACACAGACTGAACAAGTGTGGTGAGAGGATACAACTCCAACGCCCACCTTTCCTGCTTTTAAACCATGTGGTACTCCCTTGTTCTGTTTGCACAACTGCCTCCTGATGCATGTACAGTTCTGAATGAGCACAATGAAGTGTTCGAGAATTCCCATTCTTCTTAAGGATACCCACAGTTTATGATCCAAACAGACAAATGCCTTTGCATAGCCCATAAAATATGAGTAAATATCATTCTGGCCTACTCTGTTTTGAGCCAAGACCCATCAGACATCAGCAACGTTATTCCTTCTTCCACGTCCTCTTCTGAATTGGCCTGAACTTCTGGCAGTTTCTGGCAGTGTATCGCCACAGTCACTGTTGGATGATCTTAAGCAAAACAGCTCCTTATAACACCACTTAAGTAGGTATAAAACACCAAATTACAAATAAAAGTATATTTCAGAATTAAAGAAGAAGTCCTTGTTTCCTGTGCCTTAATGGCCACATGCAATGACACACACATCCACTCTCAAGGATGGCACACGGTAGCAGTGAATGGAAATCAAGTCCCAGTTCGTTGAGCTAGGCCTGTGTTTGCAAAGCCTCAGAGGAAAGAAAACGAGAAAGCTATTTGATGGTGGGGATTCTGATGTGGTCCAGGATTTCCTTGTCGCATGGCACCAACTTACAATAAGGGTTCTCTCTGGGGAGCTGTAGCGAGTGGGCAAAGAAGTGTGAAGGACATTCACACTGTTTCCTTTGCCTTTTGCTTTTCTAGAAGTAGTGTATTTGTGTTCTCCTGACTCCCTTGTTCTACAGAACGGGGAAGGTCATTACTAGCTTGTCAGTGATCAATTTCTATATTTCACTTGATGCCCAACAAGGAAAGTCAGATTATAAACAAAAAAGAAGAGACGCAGCTTTGAGTTCCAGGTTTTCCATGAACTCTAGATGGTATCTGAGTACTATACAGCTTTATAACAGAAGGCCGGCCTGGTGGCGCCGTGGCTGTGCATTCGCTGCTTATGCAAAGTCTATGGATGATGCAAAAGGTGAACGTGATGGACTGCAGCCTGCCCAAAGGTTGGAGGTTTGAGTCTACCCAGAAGAGACACCTCAGGAGAATGGCCTAGTGAGCTACTTTCAAAAACAGCTTGGAAACTCTGTGGAACACAGCTCTCCTGACACACATGGATCACCATGAATCAGGCAACTGGTGACCGCTTTACCCATGGCTACTTAGGAATGATTACATTCAAACTCTCCAAATACTGTGGGAACTAGAACATCTCTAGGGTGCTTCTCATGTCTTACTTGAGTAGGTACTGTTCTTGAACTTTCCCTGATATTGTTCTCTGAGTATCAGCTCTTCCTGGAAGGGCCATTCCAACTGCAACCTCTTCTCCACATCAGAGGGAATGGATCCAGACGTGCAGATATCTGCAAATGGAAAAAATAATTTAGAGAATCCACATTTATGGTGACAAGGTTGAAATCCTGTATGGATATTTACTTAGATGCCTATATGTCTAAAGCAGGATAGTTAGGTGTCTGGATATTAGATATGAAATCATCAAAAGATGTACAGTAGTGCCCCCGCTCCTATTCACAGGGGATACCTTCAAAGACCCCTTGTGTATACCCAAAACCACAAATAGGACTGAAACCGATACATACTATGTTTTATCCTTAACTTATCAATTAGGTCCAGAAAGAGACAAACAATAACTAATAAGAAAATCAGATATTTACAACAACATATTACAGTAAAATTTATGTGAGGAATCGACTGAGATGGTATGGGACTTCATCAAGCTACATTCTCATTTACAATGTTTGTGCCATGGTTGACTGTGGGTAAATGACATGTAGGAAATCAAAACCATGGATAAGGGGGGGTCTATTGCATTCTACCTCTAAATTTCTTCCAAAATATATTTAGTAAAAATTGAGCAAGTTACATACTCCAAACTATGTGATTAAAAAGCTTTTGCAAAGATCACAAGAAACCATTCTCTTTGCCTACATTTCTTTCTTCCAGGGTCACCAGGTCCCCATCCCCAGGGGCCTCGCGCTCCATTGCTCATTAAGTGGAGGGTATGTGTTTGCCTAGCTACTTATCTTTAATGGTCTTGCTTACTGACTTCCTGAGTTAGAGCATCCCTACTGATTAAGCTTAAAAAACGAGGAGCTGATGCCCAGGGCTCAAGTAGAAAGAAAATGTTTTGAAAAAGATGATGACAACATATGTACAGACATGTTTGATACGATGGATATATACATGGATTGTGATAAAAGCTGTAAGAGCCCCCAATAAAATAAAAAAATTTTAAAGGAATTATTGCTTCAAGGACTATTACATTTTGGATTTCCAATAAGCTAGATCTTCAATAATGTTATCCTTTTAGCACTTTGATTAACATCAAGCTAACTCATTCACCCCTCTATCCAGAGAAACCTACGGAAAATTATATGGTTTGGGTCTCCTGAAGTCCATCTTTAAAGGGCACTGGGACCTGTGGGAGCCAAAACTCAATGGAATCCCGGTGTTCCCGGTCTCACCACTTTCCCACCGTGGCCGAGTGGGGCCTTGCACTTCTCTATGGCGACTAGTGTAAAACATCTGAGCTTTTCTTCTCTGGCAGGTTCCCACCTGCCTCAAGTTCTGACTTTCCCCAGTTTTACTCAAGATGAACATTTGTCATGGTTGGGCTACATCTACTTTGGGGCAACTTCTTCTCTTTTTAGAAGGTAGGACCAGGAATGTTCACTCTTTACCTTTAAATTGGGTACCACCAAAGATTCTGGGGCCACCACATCTCATACTTGGAAACTCTCCCACCCCCTCCCACCCCACCCCACTCTCCTTTTGGCCGATGAGGTTTCTTTATCACAAGACAGCAGGGCTGCCTTGCTCCCTGCCAGGCTTGGCTGACCAGCCAGTGGTTTCCTTTCCCAGAAGCTGAACATTCTGGGCTTTCTGGCAGCCAGCGCCTCACCCACCCCTGTGCTCACAAAAGATGTTTCAGAGGCAGTGGGGTGATTCCACACAGGATGAAGAAGACTGATGGGCAAAGGACCATTTCCTGTCTAAATTTATGATGCCTTTTGAAAGCATGTGACCAGCGGGAAAGGGCCAAGTCTAAACATAAATGCTTCCAACATGTTCATGGGAGTCCGCTTTAAAAATGTCTGTCCAATTATTATTCTGATTAGCTGGTCCAACTCCTTCTACTTCCTATGTAAGAAAAATACCTAATCAATTGTGTAGGGACACTGACGTTCCCAAATGGCTGCACTTCATGTAAGCCAGCACTCCCAGTAGTCTTTGGGCCCCTTGCATGATACCCTCCCCCACAGGCAGTCAGAGAACCCTAGCACAGCCAGGGCTTTGTGACTGATTCCTGGTTCTTCCCCCTATCAGAATAGCACCAAGCTAACAGTGCACAGGTTAGGATATGACGTGAACGGTTTCAGTGGCTTATCTCACTCAAACTTGCAACAAATATAAAAGATCCCCTATATGACATCCACCCCCCACCCCACCCCCGACACACATACATCTATTCTTCGGTCTTCCTTAATCAATGTTCAACTGTCACATGCATATGATACAATGGAGAATACCACGGCTTGGGTCAGGTGAACTTAGTCCTCCATGTAATATCCTTGCTCTTCAATTCTCTGAAGAGGTCTTGTGCAGCAGATTTACCTAATGCAATACGTCTTTTGATCATGAGTGCTGCTTCCATGAGCATTGATTGTGGTTCCAAGCAAGACAAATCCTTGACAATTTCAATCTTTTCTCCATTTTTCATTGTTACCCTTTGGCCCAGTTGTGAGGATTTTGATCCTCTTTATATTAAGTTGTAAACCATACTGAAGGCTGCAATCCTTGATTTTCATCAGCAAGTGCTTCATGCAATTCCTGCTCACTTTCAGTAAGCAAGATTGTGTCATCTGCATATCGCAGGTTGTTAATAAGCCTTCCTCCAATCCTGATGCCACCTTCTTCTGGTGATTTATGAAGGAAACAAATTGAACAATTATGGTGAGAGGATACAATGCATACTTTCCCTGATTTTAAACCATGCAATATGCCCTTTTTCCGTTTTCATAACGTCCTCTTGATGAATGTACAATTGCTGAATGAGCACAATGAAATGTTCTGGAATTCCCATTCTTCTCAAAGTTATCACAGTTTATTATGGTCCACACAGTCGAATGCCTTTGTATAGTCAATAAAACACAAGTAAGCGTGCTTCTAGTATTATCTGGTTTGAGTCAAGATACATTTGACATCAGCAATGACATCCCTTGTTCCACGTCCTCTTCTGAACTTGGCCTGACCTTCGAGCAATTCCCTGTCAATGTGCTGCTATCTATAACTGTTGTTGGATGATGTTAAGCAAAATCTTACTTGTGTGCTATATCGATGACATCGTTAAATAATTTAACAACTCTGTTGGGTCACTTTTCTTTGGCATGGGAACAATGATGGATCGCTTCCATTCAGTCGGTCAAGCGGTTGTCTTCCAAATGTCCTGCCATAGAAGAGTGAGTGCTTCCAGTGCCTCTCTAGCTTGCTGAAACATTCCAATGGGCATTCTGCCAGTTTCTGGAGCCTTGTTTTTGGCTAATGCATTGAGTGCAGGTTGAACTTCTTCCCTCAGCACCACTGATTCTTGCTCATATGCTACTTCCTGAAATGGCGGACTATTGACTCGTTCTTCCTGGTGCAGTGACTGGACTCTTTCCATCTTCCTTTGACGCTTCCTGCATCATTCAATACTTTGCCCATAGAATCTTTCAAGATTGAAACTGAGGGCTTGACTTTTTTCTTAAGTTCTTTCAGTTTCAGATGTGGTGAGCGTGCTCTTCCCATTTGGTTTTCTAATTCTAGTTCCTCGAACATTTCATGATAATATTTGCTCTTTCTTCTCAAGCTGCCTTTTGAAAATTTGTATTCAGCTCTTTTAATTCATCATTTCTTCCATTTACTTTAACTACTCTCTGATTAAGAATGCATTTCGGAGTCTTTTCTGACACCCATTTTGATGTTTTCTTTCTTTCCTGTCCTTTTAATGACCTTTCCTTTTCTATTTTTCCCCTCTTTTTTCTTTTTTGAGTTTTTTTT